GTTGCGAGCACTGTCAGTGCAAAAGCCCTGAGATGGCAATGAGAAATGGCCAAGAGGCCTATGCAGTTGAGCTCTACGAACAAGGAAAAATGCTAGGAAATAATTCAGAGAGAAAACCAGGGACCAGATCATGTAGAGCATTTGAGGGTGAGGCCATGGTACGAAATTTGAAAGCTATTTCAAGGCCACTGTGTCAATCTAAGTAATGCATGGAAACTAGTTGGGGGTTTATAGCAGTAGTCAAGGAGATAAATGATGGGGGAAAGGATAAGAAGAGATACAATTCAAGTAGGGCTGTCAAAATGTGCTGATGAATTGATGTGGAGTGTGAGAAAAAGAAGGCAAGGACTCCTTGAGTTTTGGCCCAAGTAACCAGGAGAGTATTGGGATTGATTTCTGAAGTGTGGTTTATGTGAAGGGTATTCACGTGTTTGGCTTTGCCATGTTATGTCTGAGATGCTCCTCAGGCAATAAAACAGGGATTTTTGAGCTGGCAGTTAGATCTATATTCTGCTGTTCAGGGGAGAGATTCAGCCTGTAGATATAAACTTAGTAGTGCTAGTATATAGATGGTATTTAAAGCTATGAAACTAGATGAGGTCATTTTGGGAGTGAGTTTAGAAGGAGAAAAAGCCCAATTTTTCAAACTTAATACTTGTTCAATAATAAAGCAAAGATCCTGCGCAGTTATCTAAAAGAAAAAACGTTGAGCTTATTTACATGTCAGGCAAGGAAAATTTCACTGAGGGAGAAGTCAAAGTTTTAAAACCTTACGAAGAGTTACATGGTAGTCCCGCTAATTCAGAGCAGAATGAATGCATAGATCTGTGCAGACCTGATTAGAACAAGCCGTTTCCTTCACTTGTTAGCAAAGGGTCTTCAGTTAGGTGCAGTAAAGGTCTGGTGTCCGGTTCACCTGAACTTTATGGTCATTGATCAGCATCAACTTGCCAGAACCACTGTGAAGAAATACAATATTCAGCCATGAAATTTCCTAGGCAAGCACTACCGGAAAGTGGAGATTTTCCTTTTGCCCAGTCTGGAAAACGAGTTTCTGGTAAATATGAGGGAAGAAGACCTACCCACGAAGAAGGAGGCAGCCAAAGGCCGCGCAGAAACCAACACATGAGGCATCCAAGAAGTAGCATGGGGCCTGAGGGGTCAGATGTTGCTAAGATGATTGGTACAATCAGAAAAGAGACTCGCTTGCTGTATTTGCAGTCTGGGACCACCGGTGACCTTGTCTTGGAATAGTGGGGACAATCTTGACTTTATTGTACTTGTAACATTTTTATTTTTTATCAGTCATCAGTACAAAATGATTACATCCCTTGCGGAGCATTGGCACACGTTACATAACACATCTTAATTCTATTTTCACCCCCTTGTCCACCCCTCTTTGTCCTTTCTCCATTTCTTGGTCTCCTCCCCCTTTGTAAAAGATGTATCTCTCTGTTTCCTGTTATCTGTCTTTTATTTTGCTTGTTAGCTCGTATTTTGGGCTTCTTGGGTAAGAGAAACCATGCAGTATTTCAGCTTGTATATCTGATTTATCTTAACATAATGGTCTCAAGGCACATCCATTTTCCAGCAAATGACTCAAGTTTATCCTTCTTTATGGCAGAGAAATATTCCATTGTACACCTATACCACAATTTCTTTATCCATTTATCTATTGATGGACATATAGGCCACTTCCAAGGTTTAGCTGTTATGAACTGTGGTGCTATAAACATGGGTGTGTATGCATCCCTGTAATATGATATCTGTAACTCTTTGGGAAAGGCATCCAGAAGGAGAATATCTGGGTCAAATGGAATTTCTATATTTAGTTATTTTAGAACTATCCATACTGATTTCTATAGTGCTGCACTAGATTACATCTACAACAATATAGAAGGGCTCCTTTTCTCCATTAGCCTCTCCAGAATTTGTTATTATATGATTTCTTGATGATAACCATTCTTACTGGAGTAAGATGGAATCTCAGTGTTGTTTTAATTGGCATTTCTCTAATGACTAGAATGTTGAACATTTTTCCAAATATTTATGGCTGATTTGTATCTCTTCTTCTGAGAAGTGTCCATTTCAGTTGCCCGTTTTTTGATTGCTTTCTATACATTCTAGATGTTAGTCCTCTGCCTAGATTTCAAATTATATTACAAACCTGCGGTGATTAAAAACAGCATGGTACTGGCACCAAAGCAGACATGTGGATCAGTGGAACAGAATAGCAGTGGTAAATCTATGGCATGTGTGCCCTAGAGGGCACACAGAGCCCTCTCTGTCAGCACAAGAACCAAGTTGTTTCAAGCCAAGCATAAGATATCAGTTCCTTTTATGAAACTAAAATCTCAGTATTCAAGTGTAGTTGCTGTCTTGGCACTTTGCAATAAATAAGTACCTTTGGGTGGAAGTCTGGGCATTTGGTCTCTAAAAGGTTCACTATCACTGGAACAAAGGATATATAAACAACTCCAGGCAATTCAGCTCTCTGATCCTTGACAAAGGGGCCAAAAAACATATACTGGAGACTCATAAAATCGCCAGAATGACAATCAAAGTCTTGCCAGTAGCCAGTGACTAATGCCTTCAGCCCAGGTATGTTCCTTTAAGCCATCACTAGTATGCCTCACTTGGGTACCAGCAAACCCTTGATCTTATCCCTGACCCCTTACCTTTCATCTATTCAAGGGCTCAACAGGGCCCAAGATTCACTCTACTCAAGATAGTTGTGTGCCAATGAACTTTGCCTAGCACCCATTTTGTCACAATTGTGTCCAGTTTTGGCAAACAACTTCATCATTTAGGCTGTGTTTTTCCTGGTCTTTAACTTTTTAGGTAGGGAAGTCCATTTTTTTGGTTGACCTTTCCATTAGTTCCCCCAGCCTCACCCAGCTTTGTAATCTCTCTACCCTCCCTGGGGACTAGATTGAGGCCTCTTTGATCCCAGAATTCTGGGATTTTGTGCCAACGCAGCATAAAACTTCCTGCTTTCTGAGCCTATATTTAACTCCAGGGATGCCCAACAATTTGCTGGCATTTTGATGGACCATAAATTGCTTTAAGATATGTCTGTAGGGCCAGGGATATAGCTCAGTGGCATAAGCACCTGCCTGGCAAGTGCAAAGTCCTGAGTTTGATTCCTGGTACCAAAAAAACAAATAAAAAAATATGTCTGTAGGGTTGATCCACAGTTATATCTGTCTGTCTTTGTCAGTTTATGACTAACTCTTACATACAGGTCTGTTTTAAATGTCTTCAGATTTTTTTCCTCTGAATATATTACCTAGCCCTCATTCATGTAAAAATCATCTTCCATTCTGTGCCCACTCAGAGTCATTAGTACTTCCTGAAGCCTAGCCCCATTGACTTGATTCTTGACATCCAGGAAGAAGGAACTACTATTTCCAGATCTAATGGTTAAGAACAATTACATCAGTTGCAAACAGGGAAATATAGCTCAAGCTTAGTCTTCCTGTTGCTTCAATATTACTTGAAATTTGAGCTAAACTGGTGACTCAGACCTAGACATGCCAGCTTTTATTTACATGAGAATCATTGTAGAGGTGTGGTTGTCAACCTTAACCATTGCCCATGGTGGGGGCTGGCAGGTGTTCTAGAGAAACATGGACCATCTTGCACTAGTTTGTAGAGGTCCACGTTGGGTGGTGGAGGGAGCATGGGCTTTTCTATCAGCTGATCTGGTCTGTTGATTCTCTGTTTGATCCCCCTTTCCTGGTTGTCTGGCCTCAATCAAATTATCTCATCTGATTAAGCCCTAGTTTCCTCAGCTGCAAAATGAGGACAGTAATAGTGTTTCTTACAAGAAGTAAAGGAAATACTATATTTAAAGTACTTAGCAGAATGCCTGCTGCATATATGCATAATACTATTAATCATTTTTTAAAGTCTAATACACTTAGCCCTCCCCAAGAAAACTTACACAACCTTGGGTTCATTTCTTTGAGCCCCATTGTCCACCTATGGAAAGAGCTGATGTGAGAATGAAATGAGATAGCTTCTCTCTGCAGCTCCCAGTGTAACTCTTGAGCCTTTTCAGTGCATTTCCTCTGAGTCATTTTGTAAAAACATTGCAAGAAGGTGTATCTGGATCTGCCTAATTCAGTTCTTATCTCTATAGGTTGGATGTCAAAAAAACTCTTTTCTAGGTACCCAGGAGTCAGCATTTCCAATTCAGATCAATGGAAGGCAGAGTTTTTTCCTTTTAAGAATTCTCATCCTCTTCCAATTACAGGGACACATGGTCCTGTGGTCAGCTTTACCAAAGTGCAGCATTTATAGAAATAGTGGAGTGGTCTGGAAATGAAAGGCTACCATGGGAACCCAGGCAGAGCTTTTCCTAAAGTACATAGGTGGAGTTGATGCTAAAAAGAATCTGGAGGCTGAGAATACGACACTGCATTGCTGGTATTGCAGGGTATGCAGAAGAAGCTAGAGGCCAGTACAGTGGGAAAATATTTCTGCTACTTTTGCTACCTTTTTTTCTTTATGTTCTTCCTCTTGTTCACAAAGTGATTCTAAGTGGCTACTACTGGAATGACAACTAAACCCACTCATAGTAGAACATAGCCTTTTGGTACTAGGCAGCCCTGGGCTCAGTTTGAACCCTATCACTGACCCTGTGAGTCTCAGTTCTTGCAGTTGTAAAGTGAGATGGCAATTCCCATCTTAGAGAATCACTGTGACTATCAGTGGGCATTAGGTGAATGAGTAAAGAGCCCAGCACTGTTCCTGAACTGTGGAAGGTGCAGAAGAAACTCCAGTTCCCTCCCTCTCTCTTCCTCTTGCTCAATTTTGCTACATATCTACCTGTTAAACAGAGCTAATTCTCAAATATCAGCACTTTTTTCCTCATCTTTCCAGTGAATGTCATGAAAGTCCCTCAAGAACTATTTTTATGACTGATATTGCATGACAGCTACAAGACCCATTCTAAGCACATAGATCAGTATTCTTTCTCTTTTTTTTATGTCCAGGTCATAGCACCTTGGAGCTACCAACAAACATGCCTACTCCTCCTGATTATTTTTTGTGGAATCTGACCTGGATAATGAAAGATTCCTTCCCTTTCCTGTCTCATCGCAGCCGGTATGGTAAGTATATTTTTGGTAGTTATTTGTGATGCACCATCACTAACTCATAATTAAGGAAGCCAGGAGCTTCAGTTTGTGACTCATGGCTCCACAGGGATCTTTCAGACCCTCATATGGAAAGAAATCTTTCTGCGTCCTCTGTCTCCCAGTGGTACCCAACCCCACTAGACCATTCCAGTTGTGTTCTATACACTAAAGGAAGCCAAAGGCTTTGTTGTTGCTAAATCCCATCTCTCCAGCCTGTATTGTGCATGATCATACTGGAATTCCATTACTAATTATTAGATGCAATGCTTATTTGCATTTTGATTGTAGCTGTCTGGATATAAAATCCTAACTCATAGCATTTCTAAAGACCTTTACTTCTTAAGAAGGCACTGTCATTATGAGGGCCACAGGTGTTCCAGGCCCCCTCCAAGGATTCCCTTACATTTGAGTAGCACCTCAAAGTTGTCTAAGCATGTTGTTTGATAATATTTCAACTCATTTGATCCTGCAACAGCCTCAGAAATACAAATCTGTTACTGGGTAGCCCCTTTCTAAAAGTCATGGGTACTTCCCCAGCTTTGCCATGCTCTAATTTCCTGTCTCATTTTCCCCTGAGAGACACATGTCCCCTAAGTCTTTATTAGGTGCTGAAGGAATAGAGGTTTCTGTCTTCTATAGCTTCTTTGAGCTAGAAGATGCTGCAGATCTTACCTACTGGTGATTATGTACTCTTCAATGAATTTGGGGTGCTGTGGCTCACTGACTGGGCTGAAGGAAGTAAAACCTGTCACAAAACAATGTGAAAAACTCAGTGACCATTAGGCTTCCTCTTTATTATTTTTTATTTTTTTGGTACCGGGAATTGAACTCATGACCTCATGCTTACCAGACAGGCACTATGCTGCTGAGTTGCCAGCCGAACTGCCTCTTTAACAGGAGAAAGACACTTCACTAATAGGACCAGGTCAGATTTCTACACTTCCTGTAGCTGCACAACAGGCTTGCTTTTTGAAGAGAAATCTCAGATATTCCAGAGGCTCACAGGAGTATCTTTCTCCTTTTGGGTGATCTTGTTCATCAGATAGATCAGGTGGGACTGACTTTATTCTAGAAAGATAAATCTAATTATTTATCATGGCCACCTTCACTGCAGTGGGTGTGGCAAGAATCACTGAGAAGGGACCTTTCCCTTTTGGCTTTAATTGGTCAGTGAGTGTCCCCTCTCTCCACCTTTTTACAAGCTTTTGGTCTCCAGGAGGGACAGTTCACCGTAGGACTCTCTTACCATACATTTGGATAGCCTGTCGTACTTGGCCTAGATTAATGAGATATTGTAAAAGTCTCATGGTCTCTGGGTCTACTGTCATATCAGAAGATAGCAATGACCTCCCATATAATATCTCAAATGGGCTCAGACATAACCCAGTTTTCGGCATATTATGAACCCTCATGAGTGCTATTGGCAGCAACTGGAGCAAGACTCAGGTGTCTCTTGGCAAAGTTCTACTAGAGCTCACTTTAGGGTCTGGGTTGGCTACCTCTACCTGTCCAGAAGATTGAAGCTGCCACATAGAATAGAGGTGATACTTTATTCCTAAAGTCTCTGCCACTCCCTCAGTTATTTGACAGGTAAAATGAGGTCCATTGTCACTCTGGAGAGGCTGGGGTAGACCTAATTTAGGGATGATTTCCTTAAGAATCACCCTGACTACCTCTGTTGCCTTTTCTGAATGGATAGGAAGGGCTTTGATCTAGCCTATAAAGGTGTCAATCAGTACCAATGTTTGTTTAATTCCTTCACATGGTGGCATATGTGTAGAGTCTAATTGCCAGTCTACCCCGGGGTGTGTCCCTCTCTTCTGTATAATAAAAGAGTGGTTTGGGCTTTTTGGGGTTGTCATAGGCACAGAGAGCTTTGCAGACTTGTTGGGTGGTTGCCACTGGTCCTAGGCTGTGAAAACTCAAATGACTATTTCCAATGTAGCATCTCTTCCCATATGGAAAGAGTCATGAAATGTTTTTATAGCCTTCCACTGCATCCTTTGGGGAAGGACTAGTTTGTTTTATAAATACCACCTAAGTCTTTTTTTAATTCCCCTTTGTCCTGAGGCCATTTCTTGGGGAGTATAAACTGGTTTTAATGTTTTTTCAGGAATTGGGAATAAGGCTAGCATCTTAAGGGGCTTTAAGGCAGCCGTTTTTGCTTTCCTATCAGCCTTTTGATTTCCCAAGTTGAATTCAGACATCTCTTTGGTGCCCTTTATGGTGTATGACTGCAACTTGCTTGAGAGGGTTGACAAAGCTAAGGAAGGAAAAGTTTATTTAGCTCATAGTTTGTGGAGGTTTTAGTCCATAGTCAGCTGGACTTTGGACTTTAGTCCAAAGCAGGGTGGCATGACACAGGGGTGGAAGACAGCAAAGCAACAAGAGAAGCCAGCCTCTTCCCCTCCCTTGTCTCGATGTCCTCTCAAAGCCTTATGAAGTCATGGGGTGGGCTTCTAGACTTTGTGATTAACTCATAACCCAATGCTGGGATTATGGGTGTCAGTGCTACACCCACCCTGGGACAGGTAGCCTGAATACAATATAAGGGAGGGAAAGTTTTTGTAGCTTATGCTGAATATTTGGGGCTGACTGACAGATGAAATGATGTCCCTTTAGTGCTTCTCCCTCCCTAGAGGATGGATCTGTATTATTAAATTTATGAAAAACTCAACCAACCTCTTAATCTCCTGGTAAGAGCAGGTAGCACATCGGGCATCATTCTTACTCCCCCACTAGTATTACAGTCTGGTTCTGTTGAAGGGGAAATGGCCTTTGCAGGCTGGTTTCTTTCCCTTTTAAAGAACATTGTCCGTTTGCATAGTTCCTAGCCACTTGTACATCTGTATCTGAGAAAGGGGCCTGATTTACTGGCCCGGAGACTATAAGGAGGAGGTAGAAGCGACCTCTCAGTATCATCAAACAGATCAGAGAGACCCAGATCCCCTGAGAGATAAGTGGGTGTTCTAGGACAGGGCCTTCCTCTTAGTTTTTGAGTGTTTCCCCACGTTAAAGAGTCACAAAAGCCTATACATAAGACATTTCACTCCACCTTGTATGTTTTAGTGTTTTAATTAATTTTTAATTAGAAATGCTATAACTAGAGAATAATCTAATAGTTTAGAGTACCATCCTATACTCACCTCTTGCCACCTCCCAGTTTGTCCTGAACCCAAACCATGTTGCCACAGTAGAGAAGTTGTTTCTGTTTTGGATTGTCAAGATCAAACCTTTTCCACTCATCAAGAATATGATCTAGTGGCAAAGTCAGTGAAACCCTCCTAGTGGCGAGGTCCAAGAGGTTTCTGGTTGGCTTGAATTGAGGCCTATAGAGAGGAGAAAACAGGGCTGGGGATTTAGCTCAGCGGCAAAAGCGCCTGCCTGGCAAGCGCAAGGTCGTGAGTTCGGTTCCCGGTACCGGAAAAAAAAAAAAAAAAAAAAAAAGAGAGGAGAAAACAACTAGGTCTTGATTCCTTAAGATGGAATCCCATGCAGAAGGAGGAGACAAAGCATCCTTTGTGAGACACTAACAGACTAGACAGACGTCTCTGACTGAACCTTAGAGTGATGCCGGCATCATTTCCGAAAGCCTCCTTGGAGGGCTTTTGTCTTCATATCCGGAACCATTACCTCACTAGGGAGAAAAGGGCCAGGCCATTTGTTGGCCTTACCTAGTCCTATAACTCCCATGAAGTAAGGGTAGAACTTCCCCAAGCAAAGTTCCCCCAGCAACTTTTATTTCAAACCCGTTCATGGTTCTACCTGTATTTTGAGCCCTTTGATGGCTTAGCTGGTATTTTGAGTCCCTTGATGATTCTATTTAACCAGAATGGAGCCAGTGGGAAAATTTTCTCTTACATTTACTCCAGTAGTAAAAAGGCTGAGAATGAGGATGGCTCTGCTTTCGTACACTCACAGTGTGTACCTTTAATTTAATGAATTAAAAAGTTATTTGAAAGAGTTTAATTAAATTTTAAACACTATTTGTTCTGCTTAGGTCATCATTTGTTCTGCTTGGGTCATAGGTTTTAAATTACCTGCACTTAAAACAAGGAAAAAAATCAAACCTGGAAGCTATAGCCCTAGGTGCGACATAAGCCAGGCAGAAAGTGAGAATCAACTGAACCTGGCTTGAACAGGCCCTCTTGGCTGCTGCCCTGCCCCACAGAAGCCTCAGGCATTTCCTTTTAAAATGGGCACATTTTTCTCTTCCGTGCAGGGAAGAGCCACTGTGCCAGTTAAAGTGATTTAAAAAGAGAAGAGTTTCCTTCCTCTTTTTCTCCGGATTCAGAGGCTTAGCTCATCAGATCAGGCAGGACCAAAAGAAAGGTGAAAGAAAAAGATGGCAGTAGACATAAACCCAAGTCTAGCTGCATGGTTCCATGCAGGATCTAAGTCTATTTATTGGTGCCATCCACACCCTGGGTGGGGCACCCTCAATCTTAGCATCTCACCTAATCGCAGCATCACACGAATTGAGCAAGAAACACTCAAGGTGGGGCGCCCTATCCTAGCAAGACACCAAACACAAATTGAGAGAAAAAAAAAGCCATTTACTTAACTAGGGTAAGCAGAGACCAGGTTAATTTCCAAAGAAAAGAGTAGCAGAAAAACATGCGGATGACAAAGCCTATCACAAGAAAGAAAGGGGAAAGAAATAAAGAAAAACAGCTACTGTGGCTGGAAGAAAAACAAAACTCATCTCATTCCCCTCCCCCATTCCCCACAGCCCACAAAGCAGTGAACAGTTCTCTGTACACTATGAGAAGAGCCCCCTGAATTCCTAGCCTAGGGGAGAGAGTGAGGGAAAGAAGGAAAAAAAGAAAAGCTTTAAACCTTTGAGACATTTTAGAGAGGGAAAAAAATGTGCTCCAGTGGGGCCTTCCCTAGTCTCCTCCTGGCTGGCTCACCAAGGAACGTTATCAGGTAGTCTTTCTAAAAGGAGCTCAGCAAATGTTACCGGGTTTTGT